CATATTATTCAAATTCAAAGTTTATTCTCTATAAGGATTACAATGCTGAGTTTACAGAAATTTGGTTATTGTTTGGTTTACATGTAGTAAAATTGTGATTACAGAGTGTACCACTAGAACGCTTAGCATGGCTAGGCATTTCGGGCATTACTTAGTTTTATTCTTAATTGTAAAATATTACAAATTATGAGGTAAGTTGGTATTATGGCTAAGTGACTAAATACTAGTTTATGAGTTTAGCAATGTGAATGCTTTTGTTTTGGCACAGTATATAGTTTCAGCATTGGAGTATCACAGGATTCATTATTTTAAGACTGAGATTAATATTTCTGTTTATGGTCAAATGAGTGAGCGAGTGTAAGTGTGAACCACCAGGTGGTATTTGTGTAGTTAGTTGACGGGGTGTATCAGGGAGATAAGATGTTTTCTAATGGTAGTTTTGAAGGTGATGAATGTGTCTGCAGTTCTAGAGTTCTCAGGTAGGGTATTCCAGATTTTAGGGCCTTTGACATACATTGAATTTTTTGTAAAGGTTTAGTCGGACACGGGGAATGTCGTAGAGATGTTTGTGTCTGGTGTTATGCCTGTGGGTTCTGTCACAAACTATCAAGGAAAGCGTTTTAGGTCAAGGTTGATATTAGAGTTTAAGGCTCTGTAGATATAGATTGCACAGTAGTAAGTGTGGATGTACTGAACTGGGAGTAAGTTAGATCTTTGAAGAGTGGGGGGGGTGTGCTGCCAGGGATGGGATTTAGTGATTATTCTTACTGCAGCTTTTTGTTGGGTTATTATTGGCTTTAGGTGTGTTGCTGCAGTTGATCCCCAAGCACAAATAGCATAGGTGAGGTATGGATAAATAAGTGAGTGGTATAGTGTGAGAAGGGCATTTTGCGGCACGTAGTATCGTATCTTGGAGAGGATCCCAACCGTTTTGGATACTTTTTTGGCTATATGCTGGATATGGGTGCTGAAATTCAGGTTGTTGTCAAGGTATAAGCCTAGGAATTTTCCCCCATTATTTCTGGTAATTAGAGTGTTGTCAATCTTAATGTTAATTTGTGCATCTCCTGCTCTGCTACCAAACATAATATAGTAAGTTTTGTCAGTGTTAAGCGTAAGTTTATTGGCTGTCATCCAAGTCGATATTTTAATCAGCTCCTCATTCACAATGGTGTTGAAGGTGGCAAGATTAGGGTGAGAGATGACATAAGTCGTGTCATCAGCAAAGAGAATGGGTTGTTCACTGCCTTGTTCACTGAATTTAATCATTTCTAACAACTACCTTTAGATGCCATCATAAACGAAGGTAGAAGTAATGAATAATTCATGCCGAAAATTGTAAACAAAAGCAGAGTGAGGGAGTGGCTGGGCCAAATGCAGATTCATACACGTTTTCTCTGATGGCTGAACAGAGAAAACGTAATGTTGTCCCTCCACCCGGTTACCACACAGCTCCACAAGTATTATTATCAGAGCACACATAAAATATGCAATAAATGCCAGACAACAAGTTTACACTAACTTATATTAAGTTAGCAATAGAAATAGGCATTAAAAACACAATAAAAGGTAAGATACACACAGAGTACACTTATTACTTACCTTAAAATATTAATATTAATGTGTGAGAGGTGAGTGGCAGGGTGTTTATTGAATAAAATCAGAATGGCACACCATCATCCTCTAACTTGGCACTTAAAGCAAGAGGCTTACGACTTCTCTTTTTATTACAGCTAACCTTAGACGCCATCGTCAATGAGAGCCAACAAGTTAACGAAAGAGTAAACGAGAGAGAGAACGAGATACAGAGTTAAGACAATGTAAGAACACAAACTGAACAGGTAGTGGACGATCACTTGGTCAGGCGAAATAAATGCGTATTAATATGTGTCTACTTTCAGTTCATTCACGTACATTTGTAAGAGTTTGTAAAACATTTACCTCAATATTTTTTTATTATAATAATAATTACCTCACAATACAAATACTCTTACATTGTGTACAAGTTGTACAAGTTAGTTCAGAATAAACAAACAGCAACACACCATTTTTAGTGAATGAAGATAATAATACATGTACTACTACTAATAATAATAATATTATTATTATTATTATTATTAATAACAATAATAATAATATTATTATTATTTTTTTTTTCGACAAGTCGGCCGTCTCCCACCGAGGCAGGGTGACCCAAAAAAGAAAGAAAATCCCTAAAAAGAAAATACTTTCATCATCATTCAACACTTTCACCACACTCACACATTATCACTGTTTTTGCAGAGGTGCTCAGAATACAACAGTTTAGAAGCATATACGTATAAAGATACACAACATATCCCTCCAAACTGCCAATATCCCAAACCCCTCCTTTAAAGTGCAGGCATTGTACTTCCCATTTCCAGGACTCAAGTCCGACTATATGAAAATAACCGGTTTCCCTGAATCCCTTCACTAAATATTACCCTGCTCACACTCCAACAGATCGTCAGGTCCCAAGTACCATTCGTCTCCATTCACTCCTATCTAACACGCTCACGCACGCTTGCTGGAAGTCCAAGCCCCTCGCCCACATAACCTCCTTTAACCCCTCTCTCCAACCCTTTCGAGGACGACCCCTACCCCATCGCCCACTAAACCCACAAGGGCCGTGAATTGCTATATATAGAGTAAAGGCATACAAAAAGAATATTTTTCTACAGTTATCCCCCAGTTTGACTAGAGAAAACGTAATTCTTCCGACACTACCTACACGGCTGCTTTGTAAACAAATCTCATATTTACATCAATTTTTATTCTGTGAGTGTATGTATCATGTTTATATGCTATGTAATGGGTTTCATATATAATTTTGAGGAAAATATCACAGATGGATTAATGACAATGCCTATATTGATGTAAAATAAGATATTTAGTGTGCCCAAGAGTGATTATTATTACGTAGTATTGGTGTCATGAGTAGAGAGAGACTTAGCGATTTTAATGTGTACCTGCACACCAGCACAGTGTGTAAGTATATTTAGGTACAGGTACACATAAGTATAATTATCAGAGTACATATAAAATATGCAGTAACTTTAAAACACTTGAAATTTTGGAAAGTTTCCTGACATAATAGATGTGGTCACAGAAAATGTAAACAAACTGGGTGGGACGTGCCATATTTGAAAGACCGCTTGCCGTATAGAAAATTTTGGTCATAATTTGACATCGCCGTATTAGCGGAACACCGTAAGGCAAAACACCATAAAGTGGGGCCTTACTGTACATGACATATTTTATTTATTCTAGAGAGTATGTCATGCTTCTATGTTATTAATATTGTTTAGTATGTCATATTAGATGAACTGTGATAGATAAATAAGTCGTAGAGTTGATATTAGTGTCATATTGAAGCATACTGTCCTGCCTCCAAAATAAACTTGCCTCCCTCTCCCCTCTGCCATACACCAACAAGAGACCATACAATAAGTGTCAGGGGCCTGAGACTGTTCAACTGCCTCCCAGCATACATAAGGGGGATTACCAACAGACCCCTGGCAGTCTTCAAGCTGGCACTGGACGAGCACCTAAAGTCGGTTCCTGACCAGCCGGGCTGTGGCTCGTATGTTGGTTTGCGTGCAGCCAGCAGCAACAGCCTGGTTGATCAGGCTCTGATCCACCAGGAGGCCTGGTCACAGACCGGGCTGCGGGGGCGTTGACCCCTGGAACTCTCTCCAGGTAAACTCCAGGTAAAGGTAAGTGTGATGTTAAATGTTCATTTACATGTATACATTTTATTAGTGCTTTATATTTATTTGTCATTCTTTTCTGCATGTAAATCTATATTTAAGCTAAAAAAAAATTTTTTGTTAATACTACTTGGTGTCTGAAACGGATTAATTGGATTTACATTATTTCTTATGGAGAAAACGGTTTCAGTTTTTGCCAATCTCTCTGGAAGGATTAATGACGAAAAGGAGGGTCCACTGTATATGCTCAAATTAATAATACAGTCAGGGCCGGATTTAGGCATGGGCTTTAGGAGCTACAGCACAGGGGCCTCTGTCAGCTGGAAGGCCTCCAGAGATGTTCTCAACAACTTACAATTTACTGATGTTTTGGAGAAATTTGTTTCCATATATTAAGCAAAACAAATGTTTGAATATTAATTGTGGTTAGCCTTGTAAAGATAAATTTACAGTTTCTTTAACTTTTTTCCTTTTGAAAATATCACTGGGGGCCTCACAGTACCTCTAGCCCAGGGGCCCACAAAATCTGAATCCAGCTCTGATTACAGTGCTGGAAGAATGCTATGGAATGCAGGAATGTGAGCAGATTATAAGGTAATAAAAAGAAAGATACCTCCCATCCTAAAATTACAAGGCAAATCTAATCTTTTTGGATGCTTTCTCAACCTTAATGGAGTGTAGGTGCTGCATTTACAAACCTATTAATTCCAAGACTTCTCTATGTACAAAACTGTGATTATATAAATATCTCCAGAAAGTATATTCTATGCTCCCATGATAAGATTTGCATGCTGCTGGACTGAATTATTTGTTTTGTACTATACTTCTTTCCTGCTATGTGATGTACTGTTAACATTGTTAAAGAAATCATTGACTGTAGTGACTATTTTCTCTAGCTTTAAGTAAGTAAGTAAGTAAGTAAGTTTATTCAGGTATACACAAATACAGTTACATAGAATTATCATACATAGCAGTATATGTGTAGAGAACCTGGGATAACCCAAAAAAGTCAGACAGAGTGACTTATTTCCATTGGGGTCCTTTTACCTTATTATTATAATAAGAAGGTTATAATATTTTCTTGTTATTCTATAATGAAGATAATATCTTATTATCATACTAAAAGACTATCTACTACACGAGGGTCATTAAGACTATCTACAATACGAGGGTCAATTACTAGGAATAATGTTCATATGAATGTATAAGCTTAGTACAAAGAGAACAATATAGTAAAAAATTACAATAATATCAAGAAATTATTCATACCAGCCTTTGCAAGTAGCCTTAGAGCAGAAAGCTGTTTAATTTTATCTGCAAATCCTGCAGAGTAGAATCTGCTAATATCTGGAGGAGCACAATCAAGAAGGCATTCAAGAGCTTCTGCAAATCTGTTCAACTGTGACTCAAACTGTGGATACGCCTGAAAAGAAGCAAAATCAAAATCTTGATATACACATTAATTCCTTTATAATTACCTAGACCTGGAGTTTACCTGGAGAAAGTTCCAGGGGTCAATGCCCCCAGTGGCCCGGTCTGTGACCAGGCCTTCTGGTGGATCAGAGCCTGATTAACCAGGCTGTTACTGCTAGCTGCACACAATCCAACATACGAGCCACAGCCCGGCTGGTCAGGTAATCTACTGAATTATTACTGACAAACACAATTCATCTACATTCCTTAAAAAATGCCCACTAAGTCTTATCAAAAATCAAGTTACAGTATATTTAAAATTTTATTTATTAATTTAATGAGTACAGTACAGTATAGGAATCTGATTAATATTAAATACATTAAGCTGCACACCTCCATACTTTTTTATTTAAACAAAATAATTAGACAATGCAACACTAGTTCTTATATTAAACAAACCTTTGCATCCTTTTCAGAGAATTGTGCAATCTGCTGGTAATTCTGAGCTTCATGTGGTCCAAGTATCAGAGACCTAGCACATCCACTCTGCCAGTTCTTCTCATGCAAAGGCGTATATGAGCTTGGGTCTCGAGGATACACCTTCAAACCATGGCGCTGGCAACAAAATCAACAGCCAAATACACACATTCCAAAAAAAATCTTAGAAGAGAATTGCTCATCAAAAGAGAAGAGAGAGAGAGAAAGCCTTATATTGTACTAAAATGTGTAACTGCTTTAAGTGGTAGCAATAAACCTATGAGTGATGTAAAACATACTTTAACAGAATAAATATTCATGAAATATAATTTTTAGTAATGGCCCATAATACACCTAGGGATAGTTCTTGTTGTATGATCACAGCTGGTCTGACAAAACATGCAATAACCTACTGTAGTTTGTAGTTTGCACTACACAAGAAAGAAAAACATGTCACTCCAACGAATGTATTAATTACAAGGTGGCACTGCACATGAGAAATAAAACATGCTTTCACTAGTGCAAGTATAAAAGATACACAGCATTTAACTCTTCAACTGTGTCTAACATCCTAGTATGTAAGTGATGACTATTTGTACGACCAAAGCAATAAAAAAGTAAAAAAAAAAAATTATTTGTACCATTTATAATGTACATTCCAGGTGGAGCAATGTCAGGCTATGCATTTCCTCATGTTTGAAGTACTATAACATATTTTGTATGTTTTGCCTCAATAAAGAATTCATCTTAAGTGAGTAAAGTACTATACTGTGTATTGTTAACAATAAATAAAATTTTATACAGAACATTTTTGCAAAGGAACATATCTCAGGTTATAACATGGGTGTATATAAGAAAATGGAGTCAGCTGAATGTTCACTAAATAAACAATTTCACTATAACATATCTAGTTCTTAAACTTGGCACATTATGCTAAGAACAGGATGGAATTAAGGAATTTTCAGTGACATTCTTAAGTGACAACAATCAGAATCAATCAATTAAAAAAATACGGTAACATTCTTTAATAATATTAATATTGCAGTATTTATTATAAAGCCTAAGCAGTATCATTTACAGTATTTCAGGCAAAGCTTAATGTAAGTTATTTTTTAAAAGAGGTAAAATAATTATGAAAAAATGTTATCATAAATAAGGTTGATATTACAGGTAGGACATGAAACTAACCAAACTTAAATGAAATATTCATACAGAGTAAGTAAAAGATAGAACAGGATACTGTAATTTATAAATCCTAGAATTGTTATAGAAGTTAAGTGAATATATACGTTTCACAGATTCAAACAAGTCAGTAATAAATATACCAATCATAGAATTGATGAGGGAAAAAAGGTGAGTGGTGCATTGAATATATGTGGAGTCAAAAAACGTTATCTATGGAGGCAAAGAAGGAAATGTATGAAAGTATAGTAGTACCAACACTCTTATATGGGTGTGAAGCTTGGGTGGTAAATGCAGCAGCGAGGAGACGGTTGGAGGCAGTGGAGATGTCCTGTTTAAGGGCAATGTGTGGTGTAAATATTATGCAGAAAATTCGGAGTGTGGAAATTAGGAGAAGGTGTGGAGTTAATAAAAGTATTAGTCAGAGGGCAGAAGAGGGGTTGTTGAGGTGGTTTGGTCATTTAGAGAGAATGGATCAAAGTAGAATGACATGGAAAGCATATAAATCTATAGGGGAAGGAAGGCGAGGTAGGGGTCGTCCTCGAAAGGGTTGGAGAGAGGGGGTAAAGGAGGTTTTGTGGGCAAGGGGCTTGGACTTCCAGCAAGCGTGCGTGAGCGTGTTAGATAGGAGTGAATGGAGACGAATGGTACTTGGGACCTGACGATCTGTTGGAGTGTGAGCAGGGTAATATTTAGTGAAGGGATTCAGGGAAACCGGTTATTTTCATATAGTTGGACTTGAGTCCTGGAAATGGGAAGTACAATGCCTGCACTTTAAAGGAGGGGTTTGGGATATTGGCAGTTTGGAGGGATATGTTGTGTATCTTTATACGTATATGCTTCTAAACTGTTGTATTCTGAGCACCTCTGCAAAAACAGTGATTATGTGTGAGTGTGGTGAAAGTGTTGAATGATGACGAAAGCATTTTCTTTTTGGGGATTTTCTTTCTTTTTTGGGTCACCCTGCCTCGGTGGGAGACGGCCGACTTGTTGAAAAAAAAAAAAAAAAAGGAGACAAAACCTTTGAGAAGGGAATACAGTGTTGCACCGTCAGTCACTCACTCACTCCATACAAGAAAAAAACAAGTTTCCTTTTTTTTTTTTTCAGATTTGGTCCACAGAAATACTTGAGGCTAAAACCAGTCAACAGTGTCATTAGCAATAACTGATGGAAGTAGGAAAGACCTAAATTCTCTTCTGATTACTGGGATACTGAGTAAATAAAGAATACACTTCTTTGTCAAACTGATCCATACACAGAGAAAGTAAGTAATATTTCAACATATCCTTGATAATTATAGGTAGTAGGTTGGTAGACAGCAACCGCCCAGGGAGGTACTACCGTCCTGCCAAGTGAGTGTAAAACGAAAGCCTGTAATTGTTTTACATGATGGTAGGATTGCTGGTGTCCTTTTTTCTGTCTCATGAACATGCAAGTTTTCAGGTACGTCTTGCTACTTCTACTTACACTTAGGTCCCACTACACATACATGTACAAGCACATATATACACACCCCTCTGGGTTTTCTTCTATTTTCTTTCTAGTTCTTATTCTTGTTTATTTCCTCTTATCTCCATGGGGAAGTGGAACAGAATTCTTCCTCCGTAAGCCATGCGTGTTGTAAGAGGCGACTAAAATGCCGGGAGCAAGGGGCTAGTAACCTCTTCTCCTGTATATATTACTAAATGTAAAAGGAGAAACTTTCGTTTTTCCTTTTGGGCCACCCCGCCTCGGTGGGATACGGCCGGTGTGTTGAAAGAAAGAAAGATCCTTGATAATGTCTGTAGACATATCAACATGGTCTGCTGTCATTCAGAAATTAACAGAACTTTAGTGCCCTAGAGGTCTGGGGACAAGACAAAACACTCTCCTATTCCACTGTGACCATTATAAAATAAGCCATGGACAGATGATTGGAATCCTTGGGGATGACTGCAGAGAACATTCTTGTCCATTTGCTAGGAAGCACATTATCACCCAGTGGTGGTGGTTAGTTTAGGTGAATGATACTAAAAAATCTGTCCAAGGAAACCTGTCAATAAACCATAAACCATCCCTTCACTGAGGGTACTCTCCAGCTGACATTGAAAAATGTCTCTCCCAGCCATGGTGCACACCAGATACCTGTAGTATACCTGGAGAGGGTTTCAGGGGTCAATGCCCCAGCAGCCTGGTACTTCATCTGGTGCACCAGAAAAATGAAATAGATATCACCTTCCTTAACCCTTTGAGGGTTTCGGCCGTACTAGTACGGCTTACGGCCCAGGGTTTTTGACATACTAGTACGCCTAAATTTTAGTGCCCTCAAATCTAGTGGGAGAAAGCTGGTAGGCCTACATATGAAAGAATGGGTCTATGTGGTCAGTGTGCACAGTATAAAAAAATCCTGCAGCACACAGTGCATAATGAGAAAAAAAAACTTTGACCGTTTTTTTGGAGTAAAACAGCGACTTTGCACAGTATTTTCGTATGGTATTTATTATTGTATTCTAGTTTTCCTGGTCTCATTTTATAGAATGGGAGACATATTACAGAAATTGAGATGATTTTGACTGGTTTTACAGTGAAAAGTACCTTGAAATTGAGCTCAAAGTAGCAGAAATTTTTTATTTTTACCAAAGTTCAAAAGTAAACAAATCATGCCAAGCGTCCAATACAGGTCAACTGGTGAGTCTAATATTCTTTCACAAGTGCGCCAATATTATTTATACCATTTTTTACACTAATGCAGTAGTCTGCATAACAGTAAATCTTCTATTTTTTGTGAGAATAAAAATTCAAAGTGGAAAGCAAAAGAATGTAAGAGGGGCCTTGAGATGTGACTAATGAACAGAGGAAATGTCATTTTAGTGCCAGGAATGTCTTTCTTGTTTATTCTGGACCCTATTCGGAAATTGGCATCTTTTGAAATTTGTGTGAAATTGGCAAAATTGCTAAATTCTGACCACTGTACTGGATAGTTGAAATTGGTAAATGGGTGGTTTCTTGCACTCATTCGATAGAAAAATGGAGTTCTAAAAAAATATTCATGTTTTTTGTTGACTAGTACAGTGGAATTGGCCGAAAATGGGGCACAAAGTGGGCAAAATCGCCGATGCTAAACATCGCTGAGACCGCTAACTTCGCGAGAGCATAATTCTGTAAGTTTTCCATCAAATTTCATACTTTTGGTGTCATTATGATTGGGAAAGGATTCTCTATCTTTCCATAAGAAAAAATTAATTTTTTTTTTTTTAATTTGGCCGACCCTGAGAACGAGTCTTGGAGGGGCGGCCTGTCGACCCTCAAAGGGTTAACCCTTAAACTGTCCAAGCAGATCTACGTTTATATGCGTAGTGCTCCAAAAGTAGATCTACCTTTTTTTTACATATTTTCAAATACATGTATAACAAAAAAAAAAGTAGATCAAAGTTTTTTCACACGTTTTCAAATGAAAAAAAAAAAAAATCATCTTTTTTTACATACTTTCAAATGTTGAAAAAACGTAGATCTACGTTTGGACAGTTTAAGGGTTAAGTCTAGAATCAGAGGACAATACATCAAATATCCCTAAAATAGGAAAGTTGCCTAGTGAATGAGGAAGCACATCACTGGACAAAGGCATCCAAGTTGAAGAGTAAATGGGAGATGCTGAAAGCTAGGTACAGTGGAACCTCAAGTTTCAAACCTAATCTGTTCCAGGAGCTAGTTCTAAAGTCGAGGTGTTCAAAAGTGGAAGCAATATTTCCCGTAAGAAATAACAGAAATACAATTGATCTGTTCCAGAAATCCAAAAATATTCACAAAAAATATATTTTATGGAGATTACATTATAGTTTTACATACACACAACAAACATACATAGTACAATTAGTAATTGATAAATAAAAATGTAAATAAACATATAAAATAACATTTTTACTTACTGTTATTGAAAATTGTTGATGGTATCTGGAAGATAGGGAGGAGGAGTGAG